ATCTACCAACTGGTCAATCCGGGGTAGTGGGTACAGATCTTTCGGGCACGCCTTGTTCAGGTCGCGAAAGTCAAGCAAATCCTCCACTTTTCCCCCGATTTGGACACCATCACCGTTTTAGACAACCATTCTGAGAACTGGACCCTTTTGATATGCTCGACATTTAACAACTTTTCGACCTCCTGCTCGATTATTTTGTCCATTTTTACGCCATGATGTCTCCTTTTCTTCTTTACTGGCCTCACACTGAGATCAATATTTAGCATGTGCTCGATCACTCTGGCCTCAATCCCCGTTAATTCCTCCGCCGTACACGCAAAGATGTCCGCGAACTCCCTTATCAAACCGACCAGCCTCGACCTAATCGGTTCTCCCAGGTCTTTTCCAATCCTAAACTTTCGAGCATCATTCCTCTGCACCATCTAAATTTCTTCGACCTCACCACCAGGTTGTATGTCTATCTTCTCTTTTCCCTTGTCCTGCCATCCCTTCTCTTCTTTCGACCTCGACCCTCCTGGTCGATCAGGCCTCTCTTCCGCATCTTTCAATTGCTTTTTTGCCATCTGCTTGTTATTGCTGACTGTGGTTTGGTAACAACTCCTCGATGTGTGCTTGTTATTGCTGACTGTGGTTTGGTAACAACTCCTCGATGTGAGCTGGTCCCCAGCATTCTCGCCCATATTTTTCCCCACGGGATATTTGATCGTCATGTGGTATGTAGACACAACCGCCTGGAACGCGTTCAACCCTGTCTGCCCTAAGATGATATTATAGGACGACTCTGCACCAACCACTACGAACCGCACCATCCTCACCTTCCTTGTATCGCCCGACCCTAACGCTACGGTTAGACTCACCTCGCCCATTGGCATCACCTCACCTCCATTAAAACTGTACAGGGCTGTCGCTACCGGTTTTAGCTCCAGGTTTAAATGCTTGTTGATCTACGTGAAGCAATCATAGAACATCACGTCGACCGAGCTTCCAGTGTCGATGAACACCCTCTTCACGTCAAACCCCGCTACTTCCGCCGTGATGACCAGCGCGTCATTGTGGGATAGCAAGACTCCCTCCGCGTCCTCTGCTCGAAAGCTGACCACTGGCATTCGACTAGTT